CATTTGATTAAATTAAAGGAAATCTGGAAAACAAATATAAAGGAAAGGAAGCAATCCGATTACAAAGAAATATTACTGAAGGCAGCGAAACTCACCATTATAAATTCGACAAAAGAAGAACCGAATTGCTAAACTAATCTAAGTTGTAGCGTAGAGCTGAAATTAAATTAAAAGGCTTGAAACTAAGACGAATCTGAGTATAAAGAGAAATTGTGCTTAGTTTGTTGTGTAAGATATCGATCCTTTGCTTGATCTTATAATTAGGTATTTATAGCACCTTGGCAGCATGGTGGAGATCTGCGGCAGCATCTTGAAAGACCAACGGCAGCATAATATCTGCAACAAATTGATTAATTTGTTGGTGCTGCGATAAACCTCCTGAAAGCTCGCAACAAAAGAACGGTTTTGCTGCCGTTGTGGAAATAACCACTCAATCTCATCTGAAGAAATTCACACCAACTAATAAAATATCTGCCATCATAGGTGACACGTGGCAGCACTCCATTTGTTGTAAAATTAGGTGTAAACAAATATTAAATACATTTATTCATTTAATGACATATAAAAATTATATGAAAAAATTGTATAAAAATATTATTTCCATAACCCCATTTTTTTTTTAATAGACAGCACTTCTCATTAATTAAGTGGCTTGTGCACTTAGTATTACTCATATTTTTTTTAACGATAATGAAGTTGTTTGTACTAGTTACTCAATACCGTTCTCAGATCCCTTCATTTGAAGTTTCAATTCTTACATCCCAATAAGAAAGGAAAAAGAAATTGAAAATAACAGACCAAATTAATGCTTAAGGCTTTTTTTTAGAAAAAAAATTAAATAATGCTTAATTTATTTATTGAAAACCTAAGAAGTTTCCATGGAAGCAGTAAGAGGGTTTTATGGCTTTACAGAAGAAACTGGGTGTTAAGATTACATAACAAAGAAGGATGTGAAGTGAAATCATTCACTTGTCAATCTGGTTCAGTTTGCCAAGTCCATTGCAACGAGCACAGACAATTTGAGCCTGGTCCTTCCTTGCAGCATTTGCCCTCAGAGTTGCTCCTGCTTTCCGCACAAATCCAGCACCGTCGCATTCAGGACATCTGAGATAGATCATGCCCAAAAATATATATTGAGAAATAAATTCAGCAAATGAATCAAAGAACAAAGAGAGAAAAGCCAAAAAGGGATGATTACGTGTCCTTGCGGGAGAAAATGATCGGAAAGGCTGTTCCGACCAGGGCCACAGCAACCGCACCGGCAATCAGGTAATTTGTGCTGTCGGCAGATAAATCTCCAACAGCGGCAACCACCGTCAGGGATCTCTTCTTCTGGTTCTTCTGAGTCCCCTTCCATGATAGGACTCTCGATGGACAGACACAAGGACCTGCTACCGACAACTGCCTCGAAGAAACTGTAGAGCATAACATCTTTGGAGAAGCAATTGATGCCATTTTTTTGAAGATTCAGTCCCTACCGTGGATCCAAGAAAAACCCTTTTAAGATTGCAGAAGGGCGAGAAAAAAACAAACTAAAGGATTGATGGATGCTAAAATGACACATAAGCTTGTTATTGTAGCAGGTCTTATTCTTACATCTACCTTGTGTATAAGGATTTGGCTGGTACTAACAGATAAGGCCACGTCAGAACTCAAGCAAACCTGTGGTTTTTGTGGATAGGTGTGGTCCCACCAAAGCTTACATTGCCTGCTTTTGGACTGTCTAGTTTTTGTTTCTTCAAGAGAACTGTTGCCTTGGAACAAAATCCCCGAGTACAAGAGATGGCAGATTCATGTTGGATGGCACCTGGCCTGTAAACCCAATTGGCTATAAAAAAAAGATGCGCCCTCAACTTTACGTGTTAGGTTTAAATTTTCTCGAGTTTAAATTTTCTCTCCCTTAAATTTGTACCTGTTAAAAAAAAAAAATGTTTGAATGAAGAACAACATCATGTTCTGGCCACTGTACAGGACAGGGAATGATTAGATTCATTTAACCTGCAGCATGAAAACAAAGCAATAAAGGTGCCTGAAATATACACAATGCTCAAAATCCTATTCTTGATCATGCAACATGGACCTCATCGACATTACCGCAGGTGCTACAATTACAGGTCACAGAACTGAATCTTACCATCAAACTCAGGCATAATTTGTAGAAGCTTCTGTTCTGAATTTCATTAGAAAAGGTAGGATTGAGAGTATTAGCAAAGCCAATTGAATACAGTCAAATTCAATCAGATTCCGTGAATATGGATCCTGCAAAGCCATTACACGGGTTATGCATGGAGAGTTAAAAGGTTTGTGAATATCACTTGCCATGTACATAGTCAAATGTTATTTTCCTAACTACCAGGAATCTTGATCTGTTGTCAAGAAACAGAGGAAGAAATGAAATCGAGAGGAGATAAAGAAGAAAAACAACTCTTAATTGAGCTTCTGGAGCAGTTGAGTATACTAATAAAACCAAAGAAACCATCTTACTCTTATTGTGCAAGGGACATCTCGTCCATATAAAGTAAAAGATGCAGATTATAATGATGTGAACATTATGAAAGCTGTATCCAAGAACATTGAACATGCAAGATTATACTAACTCATATTCCAAGCACAATAAAAAAGGAGTAACTACAGTATTCAACAAAACATGTTCTGGCAATGCATAGTGTTATATAAAAAGAAGCTCAATATTCCACCTTTCTCTTGCCTTACTAAAGGGATTCGTGTTATTACAACTCCAACCAAATATAACAAAAGGAGCAACATATACAAAAGTGAATACATTGTATAAGAAAAGAACAAACTGCAAACTATTAAATTAATTATCAGGAATAGATCTTCTGCAATTACAGGCCCTTTCGTTCTGGCATTTAACAACTTAATAGCCTATTCCAAATGGTAATGTTCTCAAAACTTGTGTGTGCAAATAAGAACTGGATGGACAAGATTAACAGAACTCTGGTGAATGGATCCCAAAAGGCAAAAGCCTATATCATGCAGGCTGCAGGGATAAATTAAAGTCAACCAGGATGAAATATCAAGGAACTTGCTGATAGTGACATCTGGACCCTGAGTCTAGAACAAGCTTCAAATGAAAACTAAAAAAGACCCATTCCCAAGCAGGATGCCCTTTAAGTTTTCAATTGTATGTTCAGAGTCCCTCCCACATATTAGAGTTCTTTCTAAGCAAATAAAGGAGAACAAAAGGCAGAATGATAGTATCAAGTAATTAGTAATCTGCCTAATACAGGAAAGTATAAAAGCTGCCGATACATGATACAACCAATCCCTTCATCCCTTGTATATGTATCACATCTAGAACTTCAATTCAAGTTTTGAATCACAAGACTCCAGATGTTCAATTTTATTATTATTTTTTTAAAACAAACTGCTTATTTGGTGATAATAGCATTCGCCCCATAGTTGGGCCAAAAAAAAAAAAAAATGAATTGGCTCCATAGTTATATCATTCAAAGGAGAACAAGCACAAAACATAGACACAATTTGGCTAAGAGATTGGCTTCCAACATACCACTTGTAAAGCTCAATGATTTATCACAATTGCAAATAAACATACCCAAAAGATGATGGCGAAATATTGGAAAAGGAAGGCATAAATTATCGAAGCAAAACTCATTGATGGAATACGTTAAGTCCTAATATCCGTTCAAGCAAAATTACAAGTGAGGATTAGTACCTCAATGATTTCTAAAAGGCCGAATCTAACCAGAAAGCTTTCTTCTTTCATCAACCTCTTATCCTCTTCTTCAGTGGTATCCATGACCACAACAACTACCCAGTACCGATACAAAACTTCTCTCTTTGGCATGACCTAAAATTGATGAATTCTTCATTCCTTCTTCAAAGTGTCATTATTTACAGCAGCAAGAATCATACGAATCTACAAATGCTTCTTTTTTTGGGAAGGAAACTGGAAGAATTATAGAATCAAATGGAAAGAAATTTCAACTCAACAAAACCACTAGGATGCAATCTCTTCTAGACCAAGAAAAAAAAAAAGACCATCCTTCAGTCATCCAGATCCCAATCATCAATTTGCCTTCTCGATGACCTGCCATACACTGAAGTCGATCTCCTACTCCTTGTCAACCCAGATTCAACACCTGATCGAGAGGACGAGCTCCTAAACCGCCCAAAGAATGATACAACACTACGAAACATACGTCCCAATCCTCGCCTCTCAAGGGACCTCCTCCGACTTGGAGCCCATGAAATCCTTCTGGGAACACCCGCGTTGTGTAACCCACCATCCATTTCCGTAAACACAACAGGGAAGTCCCTCTCCGCAGCTCTCCTCCCTCCAGTAAACCTCCCCACAGCGAACCCACCTCCTGGTAAACGCCATATGGTTAGCCCAAAAGCTTCCTCGTCTCTAACAGAATCATTTTCGCCTAAATTTGTGGCAGTTTCCGTTGGCAATTCGTGGCGGCAAACAGGACAAGAGTTTCGAATAGAGAGCCACGGGAGAATACAATCAGAATGGTAAATATGATTACAGGGCATTTCACGAGCCTCCACATCAAGCTCGAAAGGTTCTTTGCAAACTGCGCAATGAGACTCCGTCATGACGTGACTCGATTCGATCTTGATTATTGGCATTGATTCAATAGCGGCTTTTGAAGCCGGTGGCTGCTCAAATCGGCCAACGCCATTAATCTCCAACTGAGCTAGCTGGTCAAGAAGCCGATCAAAACCCGATCCCATTAAGAACTCCGACATGCTCGCTGGAAGAGGACGAAGACCATAACCAGATCCATCGTCATAATAAAGCTCGAAGCTATTCCCTCTTTCAGCAACAACCCCCTCGTTACCAGAATTTGACCCACGGAGAACGATGACCGGATTAAACGGGGAGCGATCACCACCGTTCCTTCTAGCACGACGGAACCTCCGACTCGGACTTAATCCCGGGCTAGGGCCAGGACTCGGACTGGTATCAGAATACATAGTCGCGGCAGGGAATCGGTGGTAGACAGGAGATCGGGAAGGCGTATCAATTTCTTCAACGAATCCGCTTCCGCAGTCGGGACAGATGACGGAATCTTGAGAATGGACACGGATCCGGATGAACCGGTTGCATCTGTAGCACCAAAAGGGCGATCTCACGGATTCCATGGTTTGAAATTGAGAATCGAGAAAAGAAAGAAGGAAGAAAAGGAAACCCTAGGATTAAAAATGGAGGAAATCGGGCTTGATTTCCTGGAAAAATCGGTAAATCAGAAAGTAGGAAAAAAAAAAAAAAAACCCTAGAAAGTCATGATGATGAACTGATGAAGAATAATCAAAAGAGTGAAGAAAGCGGAGGTGTGAGAATGAGGAAAGCGGTGGTGTGGAAGTCTGAGTAAAGGTACATATTAGGATACGAAGTTTGTAATTTTTTGATTTAAGGACATGAAATTTGTCCGAATCCAAATATTCCAAATAAAGCAGTAAGTATTTTAGCCTTTTCTACTGCTTAAAGATACTAGTAACTTTATATTTTTTTTATTTAGATTTTTTAAAATTGTGTTGGCTCACATTAATATATTTTTTAATAATTAATTTACATAAAAAATATAAATATTAATATTAATTTTTATATTAATATAATTTATATAATTTTGATCGCCCACTCCGAACTAACGGTATTGAATCTTGAGTTAGGACTGTTCACTTCCGATAGATTGCATGTTTGAGTCTCAAGAAAACCCTTTCCTCTCTCCCACAATTAATCATGTAAATAATTATAAATTATTCAAAAAAAATATAATTTATATAATTTTAATTGAATAATTAATAAATTAAAAATTAATTATTATTTTTTAATGTAAATTAATTATTAAAAAATATATTAATGTG